TGAGTGGGATAGTGAGAAATCACCCCCCGAGGAGCGATGGCTATGCCACAATCCCTTTTTCTCTATTCTCCTGGGATTTGGGACATGCACGCACACACACTTGGTGTGAGTTTCCAGCCACTGGATCCAGGACTCAAAGCACGGTTGGCCACGTGGGAGTCCAGAGCCTTAACCAGCACACCATCCGCTGGCACCTCAAGGTCATATTTTTAAGAGCTGCTACACGTTACATTCCCACAGATGTTGACAGTCACCGAGGCCAGTTCCAAGTCTGCACTGCGTGGGGAAGTGGGCATAGACAGCGTGTCAGTAAGTGGGAGTGGCCGCATTATTTACGCCACACCTCAAAATGCAAAGTTCATCCGATTTTCATGAGTCAAAAAAAATGTTACTCTCTTTTTCATTTCTTTCAGAGACTTTAAAAATAAAAACCAGTCTTACTTCACAGGCGGATACAAAAACAACAACCAAAAATGTGTTTACTCCTGTTTTAGAACACATATAGGGAATGTATGCATGGTTTTAGAGAAGGAATAGTTAGACCTAAACATGTTTTCTGTGATTTAGACAAATGATTTCATCACTGGCACTTTCCCTTGCAAATGAAGTAGAGATAGCATCATCATTTTTTTAAAGTTGATTTTATTTCTTCCTTGAGAGAGACAGAGACAGAGATACAGGGACCTCTGACAAGGTCTGAACACCGTACTCCAAACCCCCTCAGCTGGCTTGGATCTCAGGCATGCCTACGCACGCTCAGCTAGCTCAGGGGGTCCAGGGACATGAACCCAGGCCATTTCTCATCTGGCGCAGCTGCGTTGCCGCTGTGCCACTGCCTGCCCCGATGATATCTCCAGTCAGTGCTTGGTGGGTTACTGCAGCCTGCATGCACTGGCTCAGAGGAGCCGCTTGTGACATCTATTCACAGCTCCGTGACATACCAGCACGCACACAGCCATGAGCTGGGTCAGTGTTCAGTGACATCACAGATCGTTTGACAGTGACCATAGTAGAAAGTCATAGACCACAAAAATCGGTACATACTGTGTATTGAGGCTTTTCCCCCTAGATAGTCAATTGTTAAGCTTTTACCAACACATTATTAACGGTAATACTGGGTCGTCAGGAGAGTTGTAATGCATGTTTGCAAAGAAAAACATAGAAAAAGACGTCATGACTTTCCTGACGACCGAATATTTTTAGGGCCCCTTGCTGTTCTGTGAACGACAGCACAAAACAGTGTAGTTAAGTTTCCCTTTAGGAATCATTCATGAATACTTTTCAATCATTGCCACAACCACCGTCCTTTAATACGATTAACGAGCCATTATTACTTATCTGAAAAGTCTCAGAATCGCAGCAAAAGTTGCCTACCTTAAGCAAACCAGATGATCACAGTCTTTAGGGTCTACTCAAGTTAAGAAAAAGGATGTATTTGTCACATGAATTCCTGAGTGCAAAAGTGGTGAGTTGAACCGGAACATCATACTTCATTGAAAAGGAAGTCGGGTGTGGTGGTATGCATTTTCAGCCACTCAGGAGGCTGGGGCAGGAGGATGGCCATCTTAAAACAGCAAGTTTATGTCTTGAAAAGAAAAAAAAGAAAAAAAAAAGAAGAAAAGAAAGGGCAAAAAAAGAAAGGCGAGGAAGACCATGGGACAGCAATGCTGCAGCTGAACCTCCACGGTCTGCTTGGCTGAAGCTGGAGGTAGATCACAGCCCAAGGGCCCCACTGGGGGTGTCTATCTCTCTGCCTATCTCTTGCTCATGTAGGAAATAAACAACTTAAAATAAACAAACATAGAAGAACTACACTCATGTTCATAAAGAGTAACTTCCACCTGGCCAGCATTACAGAGGAAATGTGAAGAAACTAACTTACTAGTAAAGATGTATTGTGTAGGTCTCATTTTTATTGTTTGTTTGTTATTGCTTATGTTTCAAGATGTTCAAATATCAAAAATGAAAGTTCAAACTGAATGTGGAAAAAGTTCAAAAGAGAGGCTAAGAAAAACTTCAAAAATGCAGGGAAAAATAGAATTCCAAAGGAAGTGAATCATTGATATCGCTTATCTGCTTTGTTTTGCAGAAATTTCTGAAAGACATAACCCAAAGATATCCAACCTCCTTTTTCCATACTGCCTTTTTAACAAAGTATAGCATGTACTTTTTTGGTTTCTTTATGTTTTATCCTCCTATTAGTATAGAAAAAAAAACATAAGCAAAATAGAAACAAAATCTCACATTGGTAGTAAAAGAAAAATGGTAATCGGGAAAAAAATCCAAATTCAATAAAATCCTTCAGCTAGCAAGAAGTCTGCATTGTTTCCGTGTGTGTGTGATGAGTAATAGCCAACGCAGGAATTATGCTAAATTAAAAAAAGGGGAGTCAAGAAAAGCCTGCGGCAATCTTTGATTTATTTAGGTTGGAAGTTTTGGAAAACAAAGATTTGCCTATATGATATTGAATTCTGTTCCAAATAATACATCTTTATATTTTATTCTTTTTCTTCTTTATTTTGTACACAGCCAATTTAAAGTGGGTTGCAGTTCCCAAATATTCTTTTTAAATCCTGCACTTTTTTGGCATGTGTGCATGTTCAATGCACAGTTTACTTTTTTTTACTAGAAATTCATATGGCTTCCCTGGTACATTTCAGCCTGCTGTCTGCTGACTTACAGTGTCTGTCTCCCGACTCACCCTCATGTACCCACAGACTCTACACCTCTCCCTGGCATGACATTCAGGTTTCAAGGTTTCATATGTACTGATGACAACCACCCCTCTTGTCCAAATCTCCCTTGAACTTCAAACGTAAGACAAGACGTCATCGAGTTTGTGGAAACATAAAACTAAACTACAAGTTTATTTTGGTGAAAAATATTTTTGAAATCCACACATACTTTTTAATTTTTCTTTGAGAGATTTATGCCATAGGGTGTGTGCGTTCGCCAGAAAGACAGAGAGAGACAGAGAGACAGAAAGCAAGAAATCACCCCCGAGGGGGGATGACCACGCCGCAATCCCTTCTCCTCCATTCTCCTCTTGGAATCTTGGGCACACATGCACACATGCCCAGCGTGAGTTTAAGTTACCAGGTCCGAGACTCAAACCACGGTCGACTACATGGAAGTCCAGGGATATAGCCATTACGCTATCTGCAGGTCCCATCCATGTATACTTTTCTTTCATATGGTTAAAATTTCCATGAATTCTTTGAAGATCCTTCACACACACACACACACACACAATTATATAATATATATGTCTATATATTCATCTCTAGCTATATTCGTTAAATAGAATGCTAACATCGGCACATTCATCACCAGACTCATCAATTCCTTAACTAACTCTCCTCCTCCCCTCATCCTTACATTACTTATTTGAGGTAGAGTTATCGATTTCAGTGATTTCAAACAGATTATAATCCAGATGCATAAATCATAAAGATTATTATAATCAATAATAGAATTTTCCTTCAAGCAAAATTCACTGTTAGGGAATATTCCCTTGGGGTATGCAGAAAAACATACTAAATATCTTATTTGTATATGGAATAAAGTACAAGATTAGATCAAACTTGTAGCAGTGCTTAGAGGGAAATGTATTGCTCTGAATCCCTGTACTAAAAATTGTGAAATCAGGACCAGCAGATGGCATAATGGTTACATCGCTGAATTCCCACACAGCCGACTGCAGTTCACTCCTGGACCTGGTGACTTCAAACTCACACCAGACATGTGTGCATGCATGCTCAAAATCCCAAGAGGAGAATGGAGGAGAAGGGACTGTGGCGTGGCCATCCACCCTAGGAGGTGATTTCTTGCTTTCTGTCTCTCTCCTTCTGGCAAGTGCATGTACCCTATAGCAAAAAATCTCTCTCAAAAAAAAAAAAAGAAAAACTCTCAAATCAAGAAACGAGAAAAAGAAAATAACATTAAATATACAACAAACGGAAGGAAATACTGATGAGAAAGGCAACAACGAAATTTTAAAAAGTCAATAATATTAAATAGGTCCTTGAAAATAGCAACAGGTTGACAAATTTTGGTAAAAACTGATGACAAAAAGAAAGAGATAAAAAGACTTCAATTAGCAAAATGAACAAAATGAAAAGACACCCTGGGAAAATGGGAGGAGACATTCATATATCACAAAACCATTAAGGGACTGCATTTTGAATATATGATGTACTTTTACAACATGAAACAATACAAAACAAATTAAAAACCCATGGATATATTTGAATAGACATGTTTATAAAAAAGATATCCAATTGGGACCAGTAGTTAGTGTAATGGCTATGTCGCTGGACTCCCACTTAGTCGACTGTGGTTCAAGTCCTGGACCCGGTGACTTAAACCCAGGCTGGGTGCATGTGCGTGCATGCCCAAGATCCCAAGAGGAGAATGGAGGAGAAGGGATTGTGGTGTGGCCATCATCCTGGGGGGTGATTTCTGTCCTTCTGTCTCTCTCTGTCTGTCTGGCGAGCTCATGTGCCCTATAGCAAAAACCTCTCCAAAAAAAAAAAAAAAAAGATATCCAATGAACAATAAACACATGAAAAAATGTTCAAAATTATTAGTCACTAGGGGAAATGTAAATAAAAACCACAGCTACTCTTTCACACACGCTTAGATGGCTCTAATCAAAAGCACAGAAAATAACAAGTGTTGATGAGAACGTGGGCTGATTGAAGCCATCTTTCATGACTGGAGAAAATATAAACTAGAGCAGCCACTGTGGGAAACGATTTGACAGCTCCTCAGGATGTTAAATAGAGAGTCATTTTATGACTCACTCAGCAGTTTCTCTCTTTGGTACAGAGCCAAAAGAATTGAAAACATATGACCATGCTAGAAAATATACATGAATATTCACAGAAGTCTCATTTATAATCATTCAAAAGTGAAATGATTCAAATGTCCATCAAATGATGAATGAACAAACAAAACACGATGTACCCGAGGCTACCTCACAGATGGACCTGACCACATTATGGAAAGCGAAAGAAGCCAGTCACAAAGACATCTGACTGCGTTTCTGTAAAATTCCCACAAGAGCCAACTCTAAATAGGAAATGGTAAATTAGACAAGTCCATATAGAGTTAAGTAGCTAGGGGTGGGTGTAGGATTATGGGGAGTGACCACTAATTGTTACTTAGCTTTCAGGGGTGGGTAATGAAAGTGTCCTCAGGTTAAATGGTGAGGATGGTTGCCCACATCCTGAATATACTAACAATTAATTATGAACAAAAATGCCAGTGAGTTATTTGAAAAGGGAATTTAAAAAATGTATTGACCTTCAGTTTTTATTTTTAGTGAAAGAAATCTATAATTATGGATTTCTTCTCTCGATAATTTAAGTATCAAGTTAGAATTCAAGTACTTTGTAATGGCTACATGTATATTTTTTTGTGATATTGTCCTATGTTTTCCTGTAGCTTTTCATTTCAATGTACTTTTACTCTGACTTCAAAGAAAGAAATACAATTTTTTATTGCAACGAGTGGTCAGTGATTCATAAAGTACTGAATCCAAAAACTGCGTCTTCAACTTGGTTCCAACAGTATCTTAAAAGACTGTCACTGTTCATGCTAAATGTTAGAAACTTTGACAGTAATTTTCAGGAGTTTGTACAGAATAAAATTTATATTTTCTATTAGTCAGATAAAATTGGATTACTTTATTTGAAAACGGCATATTGAAGAATTTCACTTTTTTCCTGTTGAATTCTCATGCTCACGATATTACTGTCTGGCTTCAATATTTTCTGTCCACCGTAATACAGTTATTAGTTGTCTACCACATGGAGCAAGTTAGAGTAATTTATTGATTCTGATAATAAAAGAAAGAAAACAAAACCCCCAAAAGTGTTCATATGTATGTTCTCCACTGTAGTATTACTTTGGAAAATAACTACACTTTGTTCATAAGAGACTTAAGGGAAATGTCATTTTCAAATGACCTCTACTAATATGAATAACGCCATGCTCTGCACAGTACCACGCCAGCATCCAGGAAACGAACCGGAGTTCCCAGCCAAAACAACATCCTCAGCCGCCCTCGTTGCCCTGAGCATCTTACCTTTGTCTCGGCAGGCTGATGAGGGGCTGTTTATGACACCTCTTGCTAAGGCTAAAGAGCTTGTGCACGATTTTCTGCGCCTTGAGGAAAAGCTGCTTCATGCTGTTTTCCAGTTGTTCATAGCGGCGCTGAAAATTAGAATCCATTGTCCACAAATGCATGATGGTGGATGTGTTGAGGAAGTAATTCATGGGGAGCCTTTTCATGAAGAATTTGAATTCATCTGAAAAAAAAAAAGGTTAAAATGCAGCAGAGTAATTACAAAACCATTACTTGTCTTCCCCCAAACACATTTAATATGTTAACCTTAAAACAAATAAATACAACCTGTTATTTGTGAGTAGCAAATTCATAGAAGATGGGAGTTCAGGATCTTTGAGTGCTTCCATTAAAGGAGCACTTTTATGGAAGAAGATAATTAAAATAACATGCACTAAAACAAAGTTTGGACAGAAAGTTTAAGTTGAATGTAATTTTCTTCTGTTCTCCTTTTCATGGTATTAGAAAGAACTCTCTCCAGAACATAGTGGTCATTAATCTGGTTTTCATTTGGCATTAACAGTAGATAATACTCTCCAAGTGTTTATACTAAAGAAATATTTCCAGAAATTTTCATTAATTTAGTATAGAAAATATATAAAATTATTACTAAATTACTTCATTAATGTTTAAAGAAAAAGAGAACGTTTTTAAAACAGAAAATTATAATATTTAACCACTCTATTTTTCATAACTGGCCATATTTCAATTTATCATGACATAATAGTTTATAGCATCAATGTAGATGAAAAAGAAAAATGAAGAAGATTCAAAATTCTAATATTGGCTTTTGTTTTTATGTCAATAAGTATCAGGTCAGAAACTGCCTTCTCTTCAAAGAGCTGATGTGCCAACCAGTAAATAATGATCTAAAAGACCTATTCATTATCTAAACACAAAACAGTTGAGGTCATACTTGAATGGTGAAAACCAACAAATTGCCCATCAACAGATTTATATGCTGATGATGACATGTATGATAATATCTTTAACTGGATTAATATGCAGTGTATTCATACTGGGGAAATTCATTTACAAGCTGTAATATACAGTGTTTGAATGTATAAGATCAAATAAAATAAGGGACCAGCAGATGGCGTAATGTTTATGTCACTGGACTCCCATGTAGTTGACTACAGTTTGAGTCCTAGACACAATGGCTTAAAACTTGCTGGGCATGTGTGTGTGCATCCCCAACATTCGAAGAGGAGTCTGGAAGAGAGGGGATTGTAGCATGGCCATCCCCCTGGGGGGGGAGGTGATTTCTCACTTTCTGTCTCTCTCTGCAAGCACATGCACACTATAGCAAAAATATCTCTAAAAAGTAAATTGATTAAATTTTAAAAAAAAGATAAATGGATATGCCAAATATGGTCTACACATACAATAAAATGTTATTTGACTATTAAAATGAATAAAGTCCTAACACATATTATAACACAAATGAATCTTGAAAATATAATGTTCAATTGAATAAGCCAGATGCCTAAGGGCAAATCTTGTACGAGTTCACTTATGTGGAATATCGAGAAGAGTTAGACTCATATAGACAGTAGATTAGGATCTGCCAGGTCCTGGGTGAAGAGTTCATGGAGAGTCATTATATAATGGTTGTGGGGACTCTGTTCTGGGGGATGAAAACATTTTGGAAAGAAGATAGCAGTGTAGCTGTCAACACAATGAGTACTACTGAACGGCAGACTTAACCATGATTATTTCGAATTTCGTTACACATATTTTATTATGATTAAAAAGAAATAGTAGGGTCATTATCCCTCTCTCATTTTCTTCTCAAGTAACTTCTAAAACAGGAACTCCAAATATACATATATAGTTTTTTGTTTGTAGCACCTGTTACTTTTTAAAGGATTACTTTTGTGAAGAATCTCATGTTGTAGTCATTTTTATGTAGTACACTCACACATCACAAGATTAGAAAGACATTTTCTATACTGGAAGAAGTATTACAAAAAGACTTCCAAAAAGTTTATGAAGAAATCAAAGTATGAGTTTACGCTGATGCACACAACTTAAATCTATGCATTTCTTCACAACACAACTTTTTCATGAACTTTTTGAACACCCCCCATATTTGCCAAATCACAACTCACATCTCAGTCATTAGTCTATCCCTAAAAAGTATAAGACATGCATTAAACTTCAGTCTCTCAATTTCCTCCTGAATGAGATAGCATGTACCAGATGATGACAATCTCATTTAACTCTAAAATTCTCTCATGTAAGAACATTGTTTTCAAAAGCCTATTTAGTTAGGTTTAATTATTCAGCTTAAGACTAGCTGTTTTCAAATATCCAGAAACAGCGATTATGTCATTATTCAACTAAATTTGGACAAGGGGCTTCAGTACTAGTCATTGCATGTAAGACATGTCTCTGTAACGTGTATTAAAATGACCAAGTTATTATTAACATTTTTTTAAAATATGCCATTGATACCTGATAAAATAGACCACATTAATATGACGATCAATGCAATTTACATGCATTTTATGTGTTAGGGCTAATTCAACATTCAGATCCAAACTACTGAGTTGTCAGTTTAACTGCATCATGACTTTTCTGATGACTTAAGAATAGTTCATCAATGCTGAAAATGCAACTTTTTAAGAATTCACAGCAAATTATAACTATTGGGATTATTTCTTCTAGACTACAATTAGAGCATATTTTGGATATTAAGGGTATAGACTTTGAAGGAGAAAAAAATAAAATGAACTTTTACAACAACAACAAAAAAGAGAAAGGAATAAAATTTAGAAAGCATAGCCATTTGATATGCTTCAAAAGATGTTTTAAGTAAGCAGGGTGTAGATAATAGATGCATTTTAAAATTCCATTTTGACAGTACTCTACATTCTGTTTGGTCTTGTATGTCTCTTTTGAGAAATTCCCTCCTTTGAATAAATAGTTGATGCATGGAAATTGGAAAGTATCCCTTGGATTACTCACAGAGCAGATGCCACTACTTTGAAATATAATCATTCATTTCATTGCCATCTTTCACTTGAACACTTCGGATAAGCCTGCATTGTGCTGTGGGTTTGCATATTTTAATTATGTTCATTATTGCAATAATACTGAGAAAGATTCTAACCCAGGGAATTCTATACAAGTTAAAGGATAGTGCAAAATACAATCTACTTATTTTACTAGGTGTATTTAATAGTGTATATCAGCTAAAAATTGTCAGTATGTGATTTCTAAGAAACAGGATTTTAACATGACACCTGAATAATTACTTCATTATTAAATCATTAGGAGTCACCACTGACAGTCACCCAAAACATTTATTGAACACCTGTTGCACAGAACATACAGATGTTTCAGTCTCTGACAGCAAATATGGATGAACCCTTCATCTTTTTAAAAAATGACTGACTAATGACATGCAATATTTTTGAATGCAAAAATAACATCTTCCATTCCTGAAATTCTTTCTACTTAGCAGTCAATAGGGGCCCCAGAAATATTACTGTGGGCTTCTTTCCTCTCATTTTGGCAATAAGTTAAATTGCTATTTATGAAAAACAGAAACAGAATTTTTATGATATTAAAAATATTACATAAATTGATCATTTACATAACTACAAGGAGAAAATGCAATAATTAGGGATGCCAGAGAGCATTTTATCTTACAGGACTTAAATAGTTCTTCCATGAGAAAGAGAGCGAGGCACCTTCCACACAGTCATCACACCGTGACCCACCTTCTCCCGGTCAGCTCATGCAGATCATGAACATGATGCCGGGCATGCACAGGGAGGCCGCCGGACTCAAACTTAGGACTGTCCTATTAGGGTCTAGTTGTCTTACAGCCGTATCATTTTATAAATAAAACCACACAACTGTTGGTTTACAAATAAAACCATATTTGCTTTAAAAGTAGCAAGTAAACAATGACTGACCATACTTACTGAGGTGCATAAAAAAATAATAAAAGAAAACATAACAATGCCATGTAAAAATCACCCAGAAAAAAAATGAAATTGAAAATCTAAGTTATTAGAAATAAACATGAATATATTATTTAACTATATTCTAGAAATACCTGTTTGTTATGTATGTACCAATTAAATATTTCTGCACAGCATAGTTTTGAAAACTACAGAGAAACAAAATAACAAAAACAACACCAATAATAATGGTAATAAATATCCTTTATGCTGCAAAGAATTTATAGTCCGCCAAGATTCTTAACTAATTCACGTGAAGCAAGCAATAATACAAAAGGGAATGCATTATCATAATGAATTATGTGGAAGCAAAGAGAATTAGGCTAGGTGACAACTTTCCAATAAATTATAGATGACTAGCCAAGCACCATGTTCATTCTCCAGACTAGCACCACTTCTCTATTAAAAATGAAATGATTTTTTTCTTAATTTCTGCATAAGGCTTGCTGCTTTCTCCCTCCCTTCCATTCATAGAAACTCTATTTAACATTTGATATTAGCTCATTTTGAAACTAGTGATCTCTGTCTCTCTTTATCTCTCTGTGAACATGAGCTCTAACTTTGGGAAGGTATTCTTTTAAGTACTTTAAATATTAACTCAATTAATTCCCACAATAATCCTTCATGCAAATTTTATTGGGGCAATTTCGTGAGCAGAATGTAGACAATCCTTGGTTTCATAACTGTGTTATCAGCAGAAAGTTTTATTAACACCACTATATTTACATAATGACCTTATATAATTTATGTCTTATGCTCTTTATTCCCATGTTTCTTAGTTGAATTAAGTGGATGAGAAGTAGAAATAAGAAACTTTAAGGGGTACGAGAGAGCCAGCTATAAATGTGTATACAGAGATTCCCAATTAAGATGATTTGACCTAGAATTGTGCAAAAGTGCTAACCATTCAGTAGAAATCATACCTTGAGTACCCACACGACTCTTGTTTTACACTTTCAGTACATTACTCAGTTACTTACATGAGATAATCAACATTTTTACTATAAAATAGGTTTTGCAATAGATGATTTTGCCCACCTGTAGGCTAACATAAATGTTCTGAGAACATTTAAGGAAGGCTAGGCTAAGCTGTTTGGTAAGTTGGGTATATTAAAGGCATTTTAAATTTGCAATATTTTCAATTTATGATGGACTTAACCCAAATTGAGAAGCAGTTATATCCCGAGTGACATTTCTGTCATTTATTAAT